CAGAATTCACCTCAGCAGGGTCTGCCACCTGCTGAGATCTCCCTTTGGACATGCCACTTGTGAAGCTAATTGGTTCCTGCTCTGATGTTGTGTGAAGCTGGCCACCGGGTGTGTTGGTTCTGGGGCCTCTTGGGAGGGACTCTGGTGCAGCCAATATCAGTCTCTGCCTGTGACTGGTCCTGAGCAACCTGTTTGAAGTTATTCAGCAACCTATAGTCCTGGATTCTACCCTACCTCTGCTTGGCCTGTGTGTTCATGGGAAGGACCAAGCTGCCCACCAATACCAGCTTTTATGAGCACTGGGCTGGGGGCAGGTCAGCAAAGTCCCAAGGCACCGTGAGATCTGCTTCTGTCTGTCTGTTCCTGCCAGCTGCCTGTTAGCCTCAGTCCTGAAAGAGCCTCTGGTGGTATTTGCGTTCCATGAGGTAGGTTCTCAATGAGTCACCAAGTAGGGGCAAGTGTTGTTCACCAGATATTATAGGCTCAAACTCAGTGCCAGTGCTGGGTCTGAGTCCACTCCGTGAATGTCCCAGGCTAGGCCAAGTCTAGCTGTCACCTACTGGGTGCTGGCACACCTATGTGGTGCGGTCTTGGAGTCGTCAGGGTGAGGCCAGCAGAATTTATCAGGCCCAACCATATCACAGTTTGGCTTCGTGAATGGAGATTTCTGCACTGGTCATGCATGTGAGGGGGAAAATGGCCCCTGTCCTAGAGCCATACAACTCTGTCTGTCCCATATTCTGCCAGGAACCCAATCAGCCCCTCGGGGCCACTGGAAGGATAGGGTTAGTTGATCTCCATGAGGGGGAGGTGCCAGTCAGGCTTGGGAGTAGGTGGGTGTGTGGCCTCCTGACCCAGAGTTACACAACTCATTCAGTCCTGGATTCTACCCAGATCTTGGCAGAGTGGAGCCACCAGGAGTCTGGGGGTGGGGCTGCCACAAATCCAGAAAGTGGGGCTGGTGGAGCTCCCATGAGGGGGAGGCACCAGTGAGGTTTATGGGAAAGTAGTGGGAATGCCCGCCCCCACAAAGCCATAGAACTTAGTCATTGATGCCCCTGAGTCTGCTTGATCTCTGCACCCCAGCGCAGGCAGCTGACTCCTCAGCATGGCACAAGTTCTCTAGGGTTGGGTGAGAGGGATTCCAAAGGGTGGAGCTGTTGCTTTTCCCTAGGCCCGTGGTTGGCAAACGGTGGCTCACGAGCCACATGCGGCTCTTTGACCCCTTGAGTGTGGCTCTTCCACAAAATACCACGGCCTGGGTGAGTCTATTTTGAAGAAGTGGCATTAGAAGAAGTTGAAGCTTAAAAAATGTGGCTCTCAAAAGAAATTCAATCGTTGTACTGTTGATATTTGGCTCTGTTGACTAATGAGTTTGCCGACCACTGCCCTAGGCTGATGTTGTATGGTGGGGAGTGCTCCATCCCAGAAAAATGGCATCTATGGTGCGGGAGGGGGACACCGCACAGGAATCCTGACCCTTCAGCTCCCTCCCCAGAGCCACAAATCCCAGTCTCTCCTCACACAACTCCAGTCTGCTCACCCTCCCGCCGCTGGAGCCCAGGGTATACGTCTGTCAATGAGATTTGGTGCTTTGGCCCTTTAAGAGGGTGCCTGTGCCTCTAGCAGACTCCTGCTTCTCCTTGGCAGACAGAATCCCTGCTGATTTTCACAGCCAGTGTGATGTAGGCACCTCTTCCCCGTCCAGTGCTCTGGGCTGGGGAGCATGGCTTAAGACTGAGACCTCGGGCTTCTCAGGGGAACCCCCCAACGCCTAGATTTCCCTCTCAAATCTTGCCACTGCCTTTTCACATCTCTGCCCTTTCTACCAGTCTCACTGTGGCCTCTGCTGTAGTCCTTGTTATAAGACTTCTCTTCAGCTTGTTTTCAGTTGGTGATTCAGGTTTCTTGCTCTATATTCCAGTTGTAAATCCCAGTTTGGTCCTGGAAGGAGGTGAATGTGACATCCACCTACTCTGCCACCATCTTGGATCCCCCAAGTTGGGAATTCTTGTCCATTTTTACCCTTTTCTCAAAGAATAGGCCTCAGCCATTACTCATCATCGGAGGCCAAAGTTATTCCTCTTCCACCTCCTCACACCTACATAAAAAAGTTCCAGAGGCCCTGGCCAGTGTGCCTCAGCGGTTAGAGGATTGGCCGGAGCACTGAAGAGCCCCAGGTTTGATTCCGGCACCCCACATGCAGGAGACAACCAATTGATGTGTCTCTCTCGCATCAATGTTTCTTTTTCTCTGTCCTTCCCTTCTACCCTCTAAAAATCAATGACCCCAGCTGATTTGGCTCAGAGGTTAGAGCATCAACCTGCGGACTGAAAGTTCCTGGGTTTGATTCTGGGCACTTGCCCAGGTTTTGGGCTCGATCCCCAGTAGGGGGTGTGCAGGAGGCAGTTGATCAATGATTCTCTATCACCAATGATTCACTATCTCTCTCTCCCTCTTCCTTCCTCTCTGAAATCAATAAAATATATATATTTTAAAAATCAATGAAAAAAATATTTTTTGGTGAGGATTAACCAAAGAAGAGGAAAAAAGAAGGTCCACAGGAAGGATTAAATGGTGGCAGAGATGGAAAATTCCCTGAACAAGTATTTCACAACCAGATTTTTGTTGTTGTTGTTAATCCTCACCTGAGTATATTTTTCCATTGCTTTTCAGAGAGGGTGTAAGGGAGGGAAGGAGGGAGAGAGAGGGAAAGAAAGAGAGAAAACATCGATGTGAGAGACACATCTACTGATTGACTCCCACATGTGGGGAGCCTGCAACCCAGGTACATGCCTGTAACCAGGAATCGAACCTGTAACCCTTTGGTGAGTGGACCAACACTCACCAGCCATTCCGGCCAGGACTTTTCAACCAGATGAAAACAAACAAACAAACAAACAAACAGAGAATAACTGGGATTTGACATCTTGACCACAGAGCAAATCTTGAGAATTTTTGCAAGAAATGTCTCTTGCCCTCTAAGATTCTCTAGTAACTCCATTTTAGATATTGATAGCAAGAGCAGTGGGCTGATACCACCTTGCTACTCAAGGGCTTCCAAGCATTTTCCAGATAAAAGCTGCCTAATCTTTGTGACATTCCTGTCTTTACCATGCTCAGTCAGCCAGACGTAAAGAAGGATTTAAAGAGGGCTTTGCCAGAGGCAAGATAGAGAACTAAAAACATTAAAAAAACAAAACAAAACAACAACAACAACAAACATTTTATTGCTTTTCAGTTGGGGGGGCAAAAATTGGGATTCTCTCCCGCCCTGCCATTCTCCGACAAGAGGAACATATATCATTGATAGTAAAATATTTTATTAATAAAATACAAGTACTACGTCTCTATAATGTCTTGCTTTCTAGAAGAAGGACGGAATGAATGTCTAAATAGTTAGGATCGGTGACATTCTTTCTCTTGAATTTGTTTTACTAAAATTCCTATCCTTACTCTCTGAGGTCCAGCTTTTGATGCTTTTTCTCCAAATCTCCCTAAGTGTTTGTTCCCAGTGCAGATGCTTATCCTGCTTCCTTAGCCACTTAGCGGCAAGGTACACGGCTTTAGGCCTTAATGCTTCCTCCTTCCAGCAGCGCAGATGCCTGACATCCCGTCTGAGGGCCATTTCCAGAGGAATGTCAGACCCCAGCTCAGAGCGGGGATTTGTGCCAGGAGGGTAATTGCAGGCCCTGTCTTTGAAGTGCCTGTTGGAAGGGGGTATTGGTTCCTGTCTGCCTGGGCCTGGAGCTGCCAGCCAAGTGCGCCGCCTTAAGCCTGCCTCCCTTCTTCACCCTAAGCTGTTTTTAAGCCCCAGGACTGGAGTGCAGAAGTGCTAGGCATTCTGAGTCCCTTCTGGGTGGCCCTGAGCAGGTTACTGAGGCTTTCTAGAACCTCAGTTTTTCCGTTATAAAATAGTGGGAATCATTCCATACCAGAGAAAAAAAAGACCAGGAAGAGTTTGGACGATAGTAATATGCTGATGGGTAAGTTGTTTTTGTACTTGCAATGGTCTCTACAGAGTGCTGAATAAAGGCATAACCTGGGGCCTCTTGAAAAGAAATCTGAGGAAAAACTCTTCAAAAAACGAGTCCTCACTGAGTTGGTGACAATGGCTGTGGCAGAGGAAAATGCTTGGCAGCAGACTTGCATTTCTATCCTGCCATCTGCAGTCCGGGCCCACTGCCAGGGCGGTTTCACTCAGTGCATCAGTATGGTTTCATCGGAAAGCACTTTGTGAGCAGCGTTCTGGTCTACCTGTGCTTTTACAGTTTGATCTGGGATAGCCCAAGTTCAAATCCACTCCACATTGTTGTGGTTCAGTGACTTCCAGGGTGGATTTGATTTCAGATGAATCACCACTGCAGATGGACCTCTGCTGACCTTCTCTCCTGCTGGCCGGCCTCACCCCCTTCCCTCCACTGTCACCGCCTCTCCCAGGGGTATCAGATACGATGTGGTCTCTGGTGAGGCTCCTGATGACTCTGTGGGGTTAGTGACTATTGAATTCTGAGGAGCTGTGGCAGGACTGGGACAGCTTTGGCTAGCCAGGGCCTGCCAGCAGTTTCTGTCCCAGGTTTGTAATTTGACTGGATTCTATTTTCTCACTTGTGCTTCACATCCTATGGAAGCTGGACACAGCTTGTTGGTTTTTATTTCTTTTTCTTGAGATCAAGATAGAAATATCCCCTTTTCCCCCCTGACACATTTATTGTGACAAATTTCAAGTCATAAAAAATGGATAAAGTAGCAAGTGCCCCATGCCACCCTTGTCACGGGTCAGACTGCGGCATGCTCATCGGCATGTGTCTTCACAGTGCTCCTTTATTTGCTGTCCGTCTGAGCCATGTGGGGTCCTGGAGAAGTCTTTGTTTACATTGAAGGACTACTCCCCTTGCCCCCACTGCCCTCTTCTGTCCTTGGCCTGTGGCCACTCTGACCACCCTCTTGACATCTTCCATCAGGGACTCTCCTTATTTCCTTCTCTCTCCTCCCCGCAGGCTGTGTATAAGATGGCAGACGTAGCCTGCAAATGCCACGGCGTCTCCGGATCCTGCAGCCTCAAGACGTGCTGGCTCCAGCTGGCCGAGTTCCGCAAGGTGGGGGACCAGCTGAAGGAGAAGTACGACAGCGCCGCGGCCATGCGCATCACCCGCAAAGGCAAGCTGGAGCTGGTCAACAGCCGCTTCAACCAGCCCACCCCGGAGGACCTGGTGTACGTGGACCCCAGCCCCGACTACTGCCTGCGCAACGACACCACGGGCTCCCTGGGCACCCAGGGCCGCCTCTGCAACAAGACCTCGGAGGGCATGGACGGCTGCGAGCTCATGTGCTGCGGCCGCGGCTACGACCAGTTCAAGAGCGTCCAGGTGGAGCGCTGCCACTGCAAGTTCCACTGGTGCTGCTTCGTCAAGTGCAGGAAGTGCACGGAGGTGGTCGACCAGCACGTGTGCAAATAGTCGGGACCGCGCCCCGCCGCCTCTCCGCTGCCTCACAGAAGATTATATATATAAATCTATATAAATCTATTTTATATTTGTATAAATGAATGGATGGATGATAACTAAAGGTGAAAATGGAAAGAAAAAGCTTATTTAAGAGATGCTAGAGGTCTTTGAGGATTGGACTTTGCAGGTTCTCGGCTCCCAGTGGGTGGGACAGAGGTCTTTTTCCCTCCCTCCAGGGGGGACTCTCAGGATGTAGGGACTTGAGAACATCTGCTGTCTATCCACCAGGGCCTTGAGGGGAGAGGTGGTGGGTAGGAGGAGATGACTTCGTCTGGAAGTCTGGAGTCTCTGTTGGGTGCATGACTGCCCTGTATCTCCAGCCTGAGGGCCTCGAGGCCCTGTGGAAGGCGGCAGGAGCTCAGTTTAGAGTCTGAAGTCTGCAGGGTCTTGCTGAGAATATTGACGGGTTCTGTGAGAGGGCCGGTGTTTTCCTACTTTTCCGCTGTGTGCAGACCTGCAGAAATGAGGGGCAGTCCGACGCCATCTCTGACCCAGGGCTGCAGAGGGACCCGCACCTCCCTGGGCCTCTTTCCAATTCTTCCGCCACAGTTCACTAGCTCCTGCCACACGTTCCCTGCACCAGGAGGGAAGGGGCCGTTTGGCCTGACATGTTAGGAAAGACATGGACATGGACCGGATGCTTGTGCCCGAGCTGCAGGAAGCCGGGTGTGTAGCCGTACTGAATGAACATTGCACTGTGCTCCCGCCGGGGAGAGGAACCTTGTGATGCTGCTGCTGTCACCCCTCCGTCAGCGGAGGCTCATGAGCGACAGGATGCATAGCTAGGTCAGGCTCGGCTGGCCTGGCATGGTCTCTTCATCTCTGTCCCAGATGTACAGCTTCTCTCTGACATTAAATTCCCTTCGTTGACGTTTTCTTCCCTTTTCTTATTTGGACACACGATTATCTTTCACAAGTCTCCTCTTACCTAGTCCTTGGAACCCTGCTACACGCTGCACATATGGAAGAGGGTAAGGAAATGGAGACTTTTCAGAGCTCTAGTGTAGTGATCAGAGACAAGGATAGGAGAACGCTATCAGAATTAAATAAGGTCATGCATCAAAGTGCTGTTCCCAAGGACTAACACTAAGTTAAAAACTCAATAAACTGTAGCTATTCATATGACTGTTATGAACAAAAGGATTCAGAGATTTAAGTTTAAACCTCACATTTACACTCCCTTTTCCTTCCCCTCCATTTACATCCTACCAAGCTCACCCTGGTTTGCTCGCTGGGTGGCTGGGAAAGCAGGCAGCGGGGGTGCTCTGCAGGGCTCTGGGTATTGTCCACTCCAGCTTCGGACTCCAGGGGCTGGGGCCGAGAGAGAGAGAGAGAGAGAGAGAGAGAGAGAGAGAGAGAGAGGGAGAGAGGCAGAGCTCAGGGGCCAGGAAGGGAGCTGTTATGTCCTAGAAAAAAAGGCAGGAATAACTAGGACAGACAATGACTCAGGCTGCACTAGGTGACCAGCCTTCAGGTGAGCCAGTAACCCGTAGAGACACCTGTTTATTCTAGAAGAATGCATTTCCTGGAAAATAATGGAATTAGTGAATTTTTAACTTGAGTTATGATAATACTGCAAAACAACCTAAAAGGTATCTGCCTGAGAGTGTTCATGGCTATATCTACTACTTGTATCTTTAGTATCTAAAGGGGAACCTTCTGACTTGACATCAAAGACTGTGAGGTGTATTTTACCAGTAACTGGTTTTCACAGTTTTGCAAGCACCAGTGGTCAACATTTTCAAAAAGAGTGGTATCTGAAAGAAAGTGATGGAAGTCAGCTGGCCTACAAAAGACCAAATCCATGTCCTTAGCTTCATTAGATGGCATTTAACTAAATAAACACAGATCAGCAGTGATAATGTGGTGTTTTTAAAAATATATTATATTGGTTTTTTACAGAGAGGAAAAGAGAAGGACAGAGAGTTAGAAACATCGATGAGAGCTAATCATCTATCAGATGCCTCTTGCACACCCCCTCCCGGGGATGTGCCCGCAACCAAGGTACATGCCCTTGACCGGAATCGAACCTGGGACCTTTCAGTCCACAGGCCAATGCTCTATCCACTGAGCCAAACTGGTTTCAGCGATAATGTGGATTTTGAAACACTGGCTGGCTTTATCGCTCTTTGCCACACCACGTGGAGAGCATGGAAGAGTCACCTTATACCAGGTGCTCCAAGTGCTTAAGAGCTGAAATCCAATTCATCCTTGGAAACTACAGGAAATTCGTTGAGTGACTTCGTTCACAATCCTAAAATGTGACTTCTATGTCCGTTAAGGGAGCCGGGCCATCTTATTGTGTTGAGGTCTTCTTATGGCAAGAGAATGGAGTACATTTTTAATGTTTCTTTCTGATGTGGGGAGCACGTCAAGAGTTCAAATACCAATGTGATTGTTGCATCCGCTGACCACCAGGGTTAGGAAATGTTTGATTTTTAAAATAGTTTGGGAAGCCCTAGCTGGTTTGGCCCAGTGGATAAAGCGTTGGCCCGTGGACCGAAGGATCCTGGGTTTGATTCTGGTCAAAGGCACGTATCTTGATTGCAGGCTCCTCCCTGTCCTGGGCCCTGGTGGAGGCACGTGCAAGGAGCCAACCAATGGATGTGTAGCAATTACGTTAATATTTCTCTCTGTCTTTCCCTCTTTCTTCCACTCTATGAAAATCACTGGAAAAATATCCTCGGGTGAGGATTATAAAACACACACAAACAACAATAACAACAACAACAAACAACAACAAAAAATAGGTTGGGAAGAAGTTATAGTTACTGCCACATGCTTGTTAAATCCTGGTGAATTGGCAGCTGTCTGTTGTGTGACCGGTAATGACATAGGAATGTGGCTGGAGAATATGGGGACCAACCTAAAAAAATGAGCTTCTACCCAGAACCAATGGCTGTTAGAGCAGGAAGGGAACATGACAGTCAGATCTCTAGCCCCTGGGTTTCAGATAAGGACTTCCAAATCTTGAGTAGGTCCCAAACCTTAGGATGCTATAAAATGCAGAGTCCTAGGTCTCCAACACTAGAAATTTTTATTTAGTTGCTCTGGGATGGCGTCTGCACCTTTAACAAGGACCCGAGATAACAGGCTGATGGTCCAAAGACTCCACCACCTGTATGCATGTATGCATAACCCATGGACGCAGACAGTGGGGTGGAGAGGGCTTGCGGCAGGGGTGGGCTGGAGGGGGTGGATGGGAGAGAAAAGGGGACATATATAATTCTTACAACAATAAAGATTTAAAAAGTAAAACCTGGCAGTTAAAAAAAAAAAAAAAAAAAAAGACTGCACTGGACCTATTGTCATTAGAGCTAGCCCAAGATCAGTAAGGAGACGGGCAGCCAGGTCCTGATTCCCAGCCCACTGGGCCACACTGTGCCGGATCCGTAGTCCCTGACATGTAATATAGTTGACATGTAGTCTAATTGAAAGGTCATTGCATTGGATGTAATGCCTGGACCAAGAGGTCCTAGACATTCCAGGGAGCCTTCTGAGAGGGAGGGCATCTGGCACAGAGAAGAACTGACTTGCCCAGGGATGTTCCACCTCCGTCTTCTCCCTGGGACTGGTAGGGGGAGCCTACACATCCATGATGAATATAAGCCAATATTTGCTTCACTATTTGTCTGCATGTATTCACCTTGTCTTCAAGATAAAATTAGGGAAAAGGTATGCCGGACTATCTCCATCTAAAAGTAGAGAGAATCATTGGTGAGAGAATCATTGATCGGCTGCCTCCTGGACACCCCCATTGGAGGCTGAGCCCACAACCCAGGCATGTGCTCTGACCAGGAATTAAACCCTGGACCCTTCAGTCCACAGGCCGATGCTCTATCCACTGAGCCAAACCAGCTGGGGTGCCATTATTTTCTTGCTTAAGCTTTGTCATCACCTGGAGTTCCAAGAACTAGCGAGACACCTGTGGTTGAGATTGCTCCACAAGACAGATTTACGGCATGAATAGTTTATCAAGAAAGAAGCCTATTTCTTGGGCAGAGCTACACCATCCTGAAAGGGTAGAAAGAAATAGTCAGATTTGTCTTCAAACAGGCTCTGATTGCCTCACGGGTGTGGTTCAGTGGTTGAGCATTGACCTATAAACCAGCAGGTCACAGTTGGATTCCTGGTTAGGGCACCTGCCTGGGTTATGGGATCCATCCCCAGTGTGAGGTGTGCAGGAGGCTCTCTCATCATTGATGATGTTTCTGTCTCTCCCTCTCCCTTCCTCTCTGAAATCAATGAAAAAACAAGACAAAAACAGGCTCTGATGCATTGTCAGCCTCCACGGAACTGGTTACATGTATTTTGGGAGACTGTGTGTGTGTGTGTGCGTGTGTGTGTGTGTGTGTGTGTGAGAGAGAGAGAGAGAGCATGGAGGGTGGTGTGGGTGTGTGCACACGCACTTGTGCACACCTATGCAGGAGTAGTTTTTCATTAACTTTGGAGGGAAGATGGAGAAGTACTTGAGGCATGGAATATGTAAAATATTTAAAATAACTGTCACCACTTCTGGCTGAGATGCTGCAGAATCTGGATTGTCCATCTTTATTGGAAATCCCTGCCCTCTGGTTGGCTAGTGATGACAAGCTTCATACCTATAGAAGGAAGACTGAGGAGCTGAGCAGGCCACCTGGGCTGTGAGTGTTCAGTACCCTGATTTGTCCTTTATTGTATAAGAATCTCTGCATTGTATTCATGCTAATATATTAAAGGAAGTAAAGGGTGCTCTCATTCCTGATTTTACGTGGGAACCATGGGTAATTTGCCCAAAATAAGAAGGTTTCAGTCCAGGTATGAGGGTGGATAGACTGAGTCCTCACACAGTTAATCTTCCAGATTATGTGAGAGTTTGGGTGTTCATTAAGCAGACTATTCACATTCTTTGTCTTCTCCCTCCTGCTGCCTGTCTTTTAGTCTTTACTTGGTTCATTTGCAATTTATCAGAGGCAGCAACAGAAGACAGAACCAAATCAGTTAATTCGGGCTTCCTAAGTAGTTTTGACAAGTAACTGAGTGGGAGAAGGGTGGCTAAAATTAGATTCTAAAAGTATCTGTGATTTTAATTTGTCACTTATGTGCATTATCCATTGCTCTCCCCGATAACTTAAAATAGACTGAAAGCTGCCCAGAGCCCCAGCAGGCAGGAAGCTGCAATGTGAGGAGAGCTTCTCAAGTGTGAGGCCTGCCAGCAGAATTCCAGAAGGGCCTTCAGCAGTGGCACCAAGATGTGAAAGACACAGAAAGGCCAGTCTTGTCATCTAATTTTATTTTAAAGCCAGAAGCACTGTTGGTGTGTTACATGGCTCTCTGGTGCGTTTTCTAAGATTTGGGCCTTGGGCTCTTGCCCTGTTGGGTCCACCAGCTTTGAGGCTGGCACCTGATTTGAAGTTTGTGTCTTCTCTCATGCGTCTGTCTATTCCAGAGACCTTTTTAGTAGAAGTTTCATAAAGAAAAGGATTTTTTAAAGTCTTTTTTGCTCCCAGGTATGTCTCCCAAAACCTAAAACAGTGGCCTAGCATAGAGAAAACAGTCTAAATATTTGCTGAATGAATGATGATTCTCACTGAACTGATGAGGGAATTGCAGGATAGGGAGATTAACTGCCCAGGTTTCTGTGTAGTTTGTTCTCTCCAAGTTTCAAGTAACAGAAATCGGGTTGAGCTTAAAAGGAGGGAGCTATCATACAGGTTCAGGAGAGTCTCGAGGACCCCATGGTCTTCACGAACTGACCCCGGTCCTCTGGCTGCTCTGCGCCTCCTCTCACGGCCCTGCGGCTGGCTTCCCTGTGTGTTCTGCAGACCAGCTTCTCTGCCCCTCACAGGGGAGACAGATCAGTCGACAGCGTCGGAGTTAACAAGCTCCAG